GGGGGAGGAGTCAGTTCCATGTAAAAAAGGCGTGTCAGGGGGAGGAGTCAGTTCCATGTAAAAAAGGCGTGTCAGGGGGAGGAGTCAGTTGCATGTAAAAAAGGCGTGTCAGGGGGAGGAGTCAGTTCCATGTAAAAAAAGGCGTGTCAGGGGGAGGAGTCAGTTCCATGTAAAAAAAAGCGTGTCGAGGAAGGAGTCAGTTCCATGTAAAAAAGGCGTGTCAGGGGGAGGAGTCATTTCCATGTAAAAAGGCGTGTCAGGGGGAGGAGTCAGTTCCATGTAAAAAGGCGTGTCGGGGGGAGGAGTCAGTTCCATGTAAAAAAGGCGTGTCGGGGGAGGAGTCAGTTTGTAGTTGTTTTCATTTAAATATTTTAGTAAAAAAACATGAATATTTGTACTTCCCCTGATCTTTAAGTTGCTTTACATGTCCTGGTTCTGGTTCTTGTCCTGGTTCTGGTCTTGATCCAAGATAAAAGACTGTTACTTCAGCCCATATATTTTACTTTTCCTAAACGTTTCAGAGACGATGAATAAGAAACAGACAGAAAACTGAAATATTTAATGGTTTAAGAACAAGTTGTTGATCACAGACATAAAATCTGGAGGAACTGGTCTGTGCAGGTAAACCTAGTCCACTTCCTGTATCCAGGTCTCTGTGATTCAGAACAGGTGGGGTCCAGTCTGATCTACAGGTCTTAGATCAAAATGTGTGGCTCAAGGACTGTTTCTCATTTTTTATGATCCAGTCTGAGTTTTAATCCGTGGTCCTGGTTCATCATGTCAGACCCCCAGTAGGATCCCAGAGAACTGTGAGTCCTTTAGGATGCTGATAGACGAGCCGGTGGAGTTGTCCACAAACAACGAAACATACTCTCCAACCTGGACACAGACAGAAGCTTCAGGTCCTGAAACTGAGACAAGAAACTGCATCTTTGTAGGAGAGATTTAAGTTGGAAGATAAAAACTGGTCCTTAATTCAGCTCATCTTTAGGTCTGATGTCTATCAGATAGAGGTCTACGTCTGGCTGATCTACAGCAGGTCTACATCTGATCTACAGGAGGTCTACAGCAGGTCTACATYTGATCTACAGGAGGTCTACAGCAGGTCTACATCTGATCTACAGGAGGTCTACAGCTGGTCTACAGGAGGTCTACATCTGATCTAAAGGAGGTCTACAGCTGGTCTACAGCAGGACTACATCTGATCTACAGGAGGTCTACAACTGGTCTACAGGAGGTCTACATCTGATTTAAAGGAGGTCTACATCTGATCTACAGGAGGTCTACAGCAGGTCTACATCTGATCTACAGGAGGTCTACAGCAGGTCTACATCTGATCTACAGGAGGTCTACAGCTGGTCTACAGGAGGTCTACATCTGATCTACAGGAGGTCTACAGCTGGTCTACAGGAGGTCTA